CAATCATATTTTAGCATGGATTGATGCGCCTAAGTTTTCTCTTTCTACTGATGAAAACCGCATCACTCTACCTTGTTCCTATCAAAAGTTATTGAAAAAAAGGTCACGGATCTTATATTTTGAAACGGATATTAGTCGTTGTGCTTCTTATTCTTTATTATCGATTTTAAGTCGAACACAAAATCATATACAACTGATTCTAATGCTGCTAAAGCTAAATAAAGAATTTTAACGATAATTTATTTTTTTCGAAAATGTTTTTTTTCTTCCTATCATATGTTTCAGATTCATGCCCCATTGCTATTAATGAATCACGACATTTCATTAAATTTTATACTTTAATAATTTGTTTTTGAATGAAGTCTATCATATTATAGCATAACAAGGCGTAAACCAGCTAATTTAATATTCGAATTTCAAAATAGAACCAAATTCAAAGACATGACACTTTCACAATAAACTACTCTCTTTAAGACCATCGACATTCACAAAATCACTTTCTATGTTATTATGATATTCTTCTATTGAAACTTTCTTTCTCTACATTAGACCGTTCCAGAAACTATATTTATAAGATTTTCATCTAAATTTTTATCCGTAGACAAGTTTCAGAACCAAGACAATATCCTAAAGTTTTTAGTTCCATCGATGAATAAAAAAGATTAATAATTAAAATTTTCTTTACAATAAATATTTCCTACTTAAAAGAAGTTACCTCATGTGTACATTGAATAGTTTTTATTTTATCAATATTGAATGTTGATTTAAGATAATTAAGTGTTTTTTTTCAAATATTTTGACAAATCTTCTATAGAAAAAAAGACTTGAAACTGATTTCATACACATCAATGTTGTTGAAAGTATTTATCTGAAACGATCATTTTCAGATGAATTAAATAAACTTTTATGTATGTAATATGAACCTAACAAAAGACAAAAATAACAAACAACTTGTCTTCGACTTGATGCTTGAGCTAAAATATCAAAATATTCAAGTTGATAAACATGATATTGTTTGATATTGTTTATTATTTGATATTATGACAGAAGTATTTGGTAGTTGTAATGACTGATGAAATTCACATGATTACACGACATTTGCGCGCGTGACATTTGCGCGCCGACAGTTGCGCGCCGACACTTGCGCGCACGACACTTGCGCACGCGACACTTACGCGCGTAACATTTGCGCGCAAAATGATTTCTTTTCATCGAATGAGTCTGCGTTTGGGTTTGAGTGTGATGATGTCGGAAAGTGGGTGCCACTGCAATGGGAAAGCAGTAGTTCGAGACAATCCTTTATGCATCTTCACTCCCCTAGGGAAAATCTTTGACGTTTCTGTGTCTGATCCTTAACGAATCCAATCAGGATCCTTCAATGATTCGCTGTTTCTTTTCTGAGGAAATGACTAAATCCTGAAAGAAGCGTATAGCCACAGAATTTCAAGATCCTCGTAGTATTCCTAGGAAGATCCAATCAGTATTCTGAACAGATTGCGCCCGAAGTGCATCAAATCTTGAAAGAATCATCTCTATTATTCCTGTGACGATACTAAGCAGGATTAAGCTTGAATCCATGTAGGATCCTGCATCCATGATTTAGAAAAATAGCTTGATAGGAACCTGGATGGATCCTAAACAAGACCCTGCCTAACCCTGAGAAGGTCAAGAAAAGTGAGCTCCGCATGTAAACTCCAAATTTGGAGCTCACTTTTCTTCTCAATCCTTCTGTTATAATTTCTGGCACCACCTAGAGTACTAGTAGCATTACCTTGAATGCCAGAGGCATTTCCTGGGATCCCACTAATAATGCCTAGGATGCTAATGTCGATTCTCTCGGATGCTATGGGCATCATCTGGGATGCTAGAGGCTTTGGCTGGGATGCTGGAGGCATTGCCTGGGATTCTATGAGCATGACCGAAAATGCTACTAACGTCGTAGGTAATGCCTCTAGGATCCCCGGTAATGGCTCTCGCATCTCAGAAATTGCTACTAGCATCCTAGAGAATGCCTCTACCATCCCAGTGACTGCTACTAGCATCCCAGAGAACAATACTAGAACTCCAGTAAATGCTACTATCATTCCAGAAAATGCTTCAGCATCCCAGGGAATGCTACTATCATTCCAGAGAATGCTTTAGCATCCTACGGAATGCTAGTAGCAGCCCAGGGAACGCTACCAGCATCACATATGATGCTATTAGCATCCGTGGAAATGCCAGTAGCATCCCAGAAAATGCTACTAGCATTCTAGATGGTGCTATGAATCATAGCAGAGGGACTGAGAAGAAAATGGGCTCGAAATTTAGACTTTACGTAATTTGGAGTTTACACAGTTTGGAGCCCACGTTTCTTGACCCCATGCCAAAACCCTGGAAAAAGGAATTATCAAGAAATGCGGCAGGATCTTGTAGAAAACCTGACAAGATCCTTGAAGCCAAGGATCCTGAAAGATTCTTCCAGGATTCCTCAATGAATGATTGGAATTGAGACTACGGTAATACTTAACCCTCACAGCCACACACACACCCAGCATCTATTTTCTAAGCAACATCCGTAGTCATATCCAATCGAGACCGAAGTCAAGCGCAGAACAAATCATTTTGCGCGCAAGTGTCGCGCGCGCAAGTGTCGTGTGCGCAAGTGTCGCGCGCGCAAATGTCGGCGCGCAAGTGTCGGCGCGCAAATGTCACGCGCGCAAATGTCGTGTCACGAATTCACATATCGATTGACAAAAACAATTAATCCATATAAGTAAATAATATATGAACCATTGACATGGTAAAAATGACCTGTGATCAACAAATCTTAAAATCGACTTATGCATTCAAATGTTACAAAAATAAAGTTCTCGATAGAATTAATTCATTATGAAAATGTGAGATTTTCTCCTATCTTACATCTTCATAAAAACAAATTTGAAAATTTTCTGTTGCAAAACAGTAAACATTACTCTTGTGTTTATGTCTTACGAAGAATGCATGGTTTCCGGTGAAAGTTTCAGATTACAATTTCATAGTTCAATTTATTGAATTGTCTGATGAAATTATTCGAAAAAAAACTACCTAGTTAACGTCTCTACAATGTACATACTTAGCAAAAACCGAAGAAGATGGGTGTGGTTGTAAGCAAAGGTTACTTCTATACACAAATATCCACCTACACCTACTCACCTCATGAGAATTCTTGGCTCTAACTATTTTTACTTGTTCTTCGTCAAGTAGATGTAATTGAACTCTATAAAGATAATGAGGTGACAAAATGTTAAAAAGTCCATTGGTTCCAATATGATTTAGTTTTTTTCTCAATTTAATTAGACTCCATTGTTTTTCTAAGTATTCTATAGAGAGTAGTTGATGTTGAAATTTCTTCACTTGAGGAAAAAATTCCGTATCAAACTGAGCTTTTACTCATTTCATTGTTAGCCTCTCGGCATGTCTGAGTCTTCTTAAAGTATATTCGTCATACTTTCTTCAGATGCATGCAATGAAGCTTGAGCGGTAAATAGAGTTTTTCATAAGCTGAAAGATAAAATAAAAAATATGAAGTTTTTCATTTACTTATTCAGAAGTTTTCAACACTACTTCTATCATTATCAAGTTAAAAAAAAAGATTTTACAATAGAAAATAATTATATACATTAGAGCGAAGCTAAAAGCCCAATGAATCATTATAACTCAAGTTTATGCATATGTAAATATCAGTGTATATTTTATCATCACAACAACGTGAAACGCAAAGGTAAGGTAAAAACAAGACGGGGGTAGAATATATGTAAAATGAAATGCATGTGATGACGAGCATATAGATGAAAAGAGTCATCTACGGGATGAAATAGTCATGCTTCATTGATTCATGTAAATATACGTTGATGGGAAAAAACCAAGTAATTTTGTCAATGATAAATACAAAATAAAATCGACTGCAAGCATACAAAACAAAATTTGCTATACTCCTGTATCACACAGCACGTAAGTTGATTTAGTTTGTAACATTATTTTACTAGTAGTAAAATTAAAGTCAAAAGTAAACAGTAGCTACAAACAAGAATAAATGACGGAACATACATATGCAGTATTTGATGATTATAAAGTAGTTTTATGAGAGTTGTACTTGATGATATTCAGAATATGAAATAGATTGTCGTGATCGCAGAATCTTGTATGTATCAAACAGTCTTATTGTAAAACACGTTAAACAGAGTAACTGTTTCTATGTATACATTTTAACGTGAGAACCAGAAATAAAAGACACGATTTTTACTTTTAGAAATATTCTTTTCTGTTCTATGGACTAATCTGGATAGGTTAGATAGACAAACGGATCAGACATGTCGAAGTTCAAGGACATTCTGAATTACTTCAGACGTAGCTGCAAGACTTTTCTTGACAGAATAACTAGTTGGGACAGGTCTTTTCGACATTTCGGACTAATTATACCGTCCATCTTTAGCGACTATTTGTTTCCTTAGTCATTCTTTCTTACTTCTGACCTGATGTTTAGAGACTTCGCCCATCTGTTACCGTCGTTTCGTCAGTAACACTATTGAAACAAAAACGATCGAGATAGTAGAAGTCCTTGAAGTCTGTAGACACAAGTCGAAAAGGGAATAATGTCAATCAAAAAATATTTGACGATTATAATTCTAGGAGGACTACGTTGCACTAATTGTATTCATTCATTCAGTCACAATGAGTAAACAAAAACCGACAACAACTGTTATCAGTGGCGCAGCTGCAATGCCTAGCAGCACCACTATTACTAACACGAACAATCGTGCTGCTACTGCTGTGCTGCCTCGACCTATGCGTCGAGTGCTTCAAAATTTTCTGCTGGTATGGCTTGATGCTAATCTAGATGAATCCAAGGACGATTATAAAAAATCAATACAACATTTACAAAATATTGTAGAAATAGTCGCCACATTTACAGATGTTGACGAATGTATTGACTTTCTCACTGATATGCACGATGAAAAAGTATTTATGATTGTGTCGGATGTGCTAGGACAACATATAATATCAGAAATTCAAGAGTGCCCACAAGTAACCTACATTTACGTTTTATGTAACAATCAATTGATTCAGGAGGAATGGATTAAAACAATACCTAAGATAAAAGGTGTATACACACAAATTGAACCAATTTGTAATGCATTACAAATCGATCGAAGAAAGTGTGATCAAAATATGATCCCAATTAGTTTTAATCGTATTGATCCGTTATTTATGTATACACAATTGTTAAAAGAAGCACTTTTAGATATAGAAGATGATGATGAAAAATCGATTAAAGAACTTATTGACTACTGTCGTCTCCAAAGCGATGCTTGCGAAAAAACACTCGAAAAGATCGAAGAGGAATATCATAATCATTCACCCATTTGGTGGTACACGGGTCCATATTTTATCTACTCAATGCTCAATTATGGTCTTCGACAGATGGATGTCGATATTATCCTAAAGATGGGATTCTTTATTCGCCATTTACATAATCATATATCAGAATTAAATCGCGAGCAACAAGATAGCATGTCAACTAATTTTCAAGTCTTTCGTGGACAAGGTTTGTCCTTGGAAGATTTTGAAAAAATGAAAAAAACCAAAGGAGGACTTATGTCCTTCAATAACTTCCTGTCGACAAGCCGCAATCGTGAGATTTCTCTGGAAAACTTTGCACGACTAGCAACAGAGAATCCCAATTCTGTTGGCATTCTCTTTATTATGAACATTGATACCCATATTTGCAAACAATCATTAACACCATTTGCTGAAGTAAGCCAAGTTGGTTACTACAAAAATCAAGAAGAAGAAATACTTTTTTCGACACATACAATTTTTCGTATCGATCGGATTGAACGAATAGAAGATAATTATACTGATCGGTTATGGCAAGTTAATCTCACCCTCGTTGGTAATCAAGATGATGATTTTAACAAACTGACAGAACGATTGCGTGAAGAGGTCAGATGGGTAACAGGATGGGCTCGGTTTGCTGATATACTCATTAGATTGGGAGAGTCTGCAAAAGCAGAGCATCTCTATAAGATACTTCTTGAAAAAGCATCTACTGATAAACAGCGATCAGATTATAATCTTCAGCTTGGTAGAGTATATGTGAACATGGGTGAATACTCGAATGCACTTTTTTATTTTGAAAGAGATCTGGAGATCAAACAGAAAACTCTCCCTCCGAATCATCCCAACTTGGCTCAAACCTACTACAACATCAGTTTGGTGTATAATAACATGGGCGAGTACTCGAAAGCACTTTCATCGTATGAACGATCACTTGAAATCCAAAAAATAGCTCTCCCTCCGAATCATCCCGACTTGGCTGCTTCCTACAACAACATCGGTAGTGTGTATCATCACATGGGCGAGTACTCGAAAGCACTTTCATCGTACGAACGATCACTTGAAATCCGAAAACTAGCTCTCCCTCCGAATCATCCCGACTTGGCTGCTTCCTACAACAACATCGGAGGGGTGTATTATAACATGGGCAAGTACTCGAAAGCACTTTCATCGTATGAACGATCACTTGAAATCCGAAAAATAGCTCTCCCACCAAATCATCCCGACTTGGCTGCTTCCTACAACAACATCGGTAATGTGTATCATAACATAGGCGAGTACTCGAAAGCCCTTTCATCGTATGAACGATCGCTTGCAATCCAAAAAATAGCTCTCCCTCCGAATCATCCCGACTTGGCTTCTTCCTACAACAACATCGGTAATGTGTACGATAACATGGGCGAGTACTCGAAAGCACTTTCATCGTATGAACGATCACTTGAAATCCGGAAAATAGCTCTCCCTCCGAATCATCCCGACTTGGCTAAATCCTACGAAGGTATTGGTGTGGCGTATGATAACATGGGAGAGTACTCGAAAGCAGTTTCATCGTACGAACAAGCACTTGAAATCCGGAAAATAGCTCTCCCTCCGAATCATCCCGACTTTTCTCAATCCTACAATAACATCGGTATGATGTATGATAACATGGGAGAGTACTTGAAAGCACTTTCATCGTACAAACAATCACTTGAAATCCGAAAAATAGCTCTCCCTCCGAATCATCCCGACTTGGCTGCTTCCTACAACAACATCGGAGGGGTGTATTATAACATGGGCGAGTACTCGAAAGCACTTTCATCGTACGAACGATCACTTGACATTGCAAAGAAATCTCTTCCTCCGAACCATCCGAACTTGGCCCTTCCCTACAACAACATCGGTATGGTGTATGATAGCATGGGCGAGTACTCGAAAGCACTTTCGTATTACGAAAAAGCACATGAAATCGATCGAAAAAATCTGCCACCAAATCATCCATATATTGCACAATCGAAAAGAAACATTGAAAATGTGAAAAAGAAAATGTAATTTTTTTTTATTTTGAAAAAATAAAATACATACATAAATGTATCTTATGAAGGCCTACCACATGCACTCCTGTACGGGTGTGGGTGGTGTGGGTGTGGGTGTAGGTGTGGGTGTGGGTGTGGGGTGTAGGTGGGTGTGGGTGTGGGTGGT